TATAGTGAGTGTCTAGATGCAAAAGTATAGGTAAAGACAAGGCATACGGCAAAAGAGAATAAGACTTACTGTGTTGTATTGTAATGCAACACCCAAAGATTGTGCTCCAACATCTCCGATTTTATTTTTAGCGAGATGTACTGTGATCAGTCTCTAAAGGAAGAAGTGAAGGTAATGACATGATACAGAAAAAGAGACAATGAGAGTTACTGTGTTGTGTTGTAAACCATCACCTAAAGATTGTGCTCCAACATCTCCGATTGAGTTAGATTCGAGATCTAACGTCGTGAGTGTCTAGATACAAAAGTATAGGTAAAGACAAGGCATACAGCAAAAGAGAATAAGACTTACTGTGTTGTATTGTAATGCAACACCCAAAGATTGTGCTCCAATATCCCCAATTCCATTATATTCGAGGTCGGATGTGTTGAATAGCTAGATCAACAAGTACAGGTAAGAACATGATATATATAAAGGAAGAATGATACTTACTCCGCTATTTTTTAACGTATCAAGCAAAGATTGTGATCTAATACCTTTATTTGAATTATATTTTAGACTTAATGTGGTGAGTGTCTAGATGAATAGTTGTAGATTAAGACATGCTACAGGTAGAGAGACAATGAGAGTTACTGCGTTGTGTCGTAATCCATCACCTAAAGATTGTGCTCCAAGATCTCCAATTTTATTTTTAGCGAGATGTAGTGCAATGAGTGTCTAGAAGAAGAAAGATTGGTAAAGACATGGCACAGAGAGCGAGAGAGTGAGAGTTACAGTGTTGTGTTTTAATGTACTACCCAAAGATTGTGCTCCAATATCTCCAATATGGTTATCTTCTAGATGCAGTGTGGTGAGTGTCTAGATGAAGAAGTGTAGGCAAAGACATAGTAGAACTTAAGAGAATATCGGAGTTACTGTGTTGTGTTTTAATGCATCACCTAATGATTGTGCTCCAAGATCTCCGATTTCGGTTTTAGTGAGGTGTAGTGTAATGAGTGTCTAGAGGAAGAAGGTTCGATAAATTGATGGTATAGAGAAAGAGTGAATGAGACTTACAGTATTTTGGTGTAATGCCCTACTGAGCGATTGCGCTCCACGGTCTCCAATACGATTATCTCCCAAATGCAATGTGATGAGTGTCTAGATAAAGAAGTGAAAGTAAAGACGCAGTTTAAATAAAGAGAATGAGAGAGCTACTGTGTTACGCTGTAATCCTTCACTCAAGTATTCTGCTCCACTATGTCCGATTTCATTACTTCCTAGATCTAATGTTGTGAGTGTCTAGATGAAGCAGTGGAGGTAAAGACAGGATATGGATGTAGTAAGAATGAGAGTTACTGTGTTATATTTTAGGGCATCACCCAAACATTGTGCTCCGTAATCTTCGATTGAGTTAAATCGGAGATTCAATGTTGTAAGTGTCTAGATGAAGAAGTAAATGTAAAGAAATGGTATAGATAAAGAGACAATGAGAGTTACTGTGTTATGTTGTAATGCAACACTCAAAGACTCTGCCCCAACAGTTTGGATTGCATTATAGCCGAGATCTAATGTGGTGAGTGTCTAGATGAATAATTGGAAGTAAGAACATGGTATTGAGAATGAACAATGAGAGTTACTATGTTGTGTTGTAACGCACCAGCCAGAGATTGTGCTCCCACATCTCCAATTTTATTTTTTGCTAGTTGTAGAGTATTGAGTGTCTAGATCAAGAGGTGTAGCACAGACTTGATAGAGAGAAAGAATGAGACTTACTGTGTTTTGCTGTAATGCAACACCCAAAGCTTTTGCTCGAACACTTCCGATATGATGATGCTCAAGATCAAGTGTAGTGAGTGTCTAGGTGAAAAGCTGAAGGTACAGACATGGTATGCATTAAAAAACCGAATGGTTGGTTGTTGTTACATAGGGTTAGGGAAGTGAGATAAATGTTGTTCTTATGCCCTTTGCGGAACCTATTGATGTTATGATGAAGTTTCTATGGATTTTATATAGTGCATAGTATGCGATATGTCTTGTAAAAATCAAAAATGAAAAGGAGTCACCAGTGGTAAAGTAGGTATTGAAACGCTCTAACTGCGAGTTGCTGTAATTTCTAAATGTTTCTGAAAGAAGGAAAAGTTTCCAGTTAATGAAAAATAGTTTATAAGTGACTTCTGAACAAAAGAATTTTAAAGCGTATTACTATGTAGCGATATAACAATGTGTTGCCGCAAGTGTTTTCGACCTTATTAAAGTGGGTTGCAACGGATGTCAGTATTGTGTAAGTATTACAAAAGATAGTTTCTTGTTGGTAGCAATGGACAGTTTTCTTTTATGTTTATTGCCCAGAGGGTGTATGTGTTTTTTATGTGAACTGCGTGTGAGTTATTGAACTTAGCTTTATTTATGCGTATGGTTTATTCAAGTGAAAATATATATATTGATTATGATAGTTTCTTGCGATACCATCATAAGGTTATGTCCATGTAGCAGAATGGTTTATAGAAGGTGAAAAGTCCAACAGTTTATTTCGTAATGCGAGACTCATTACGAGTAGAAGACGAATGCAGGCTAAAACGTCGTATAAAATATATCGCTAATGAATTATTCTTCAAACTCCGTCCTTGAGAAAATATTCTTCAGATGAAGTCCGTTTGAGAGCAATTCTCTTAGAAAAAAATTTGCTTTCGTAGTATTTCATGCAGAAATATTTTACCTTGATAGTATGGATGTGAGTGATGTGATTGAATCAAAATGTGAATGTTGTTGTGGGTGAATCTTTTTCCTATCGACTTCCACCATGACCTGAGCGACAGTAACGTATGTTCTTGAAGGAGTATTTGTCGAAGGTATTTTCCAGGAAAATATGCAGAACGTTATTTATAACAAGACAAACTAGTTTATTTACGGTTCTGCCTTTTGGAGACTGATTTTTATCATCGAAATGGTATTTAAAAAACGTGTTTGACAGACGCAAAAAGCAAATAATAATGTTTTAATCCCTTTTGTCGTTCTTATCTGAAACATTGGATGTTTATGACACTATATCTAGTTTGAAACGTGGAATATTTAGATGAAATTGAAAAGAAAAGGAAAAAGGACTAATTTTATTCCTAATTATCAGGACACTGTTCATATTGTCATACTATAAGAAATGAATTTTTGATGAGAGAGAGATAGCTGATGAAGTATTTCGCGTGACAAACAGCGTATTCACGTATGTTTTATTGGAGTCAATGCATAAAAATTAGAACATCATGATAGAAAAACGTTTACCTGGTATCTATTGTAACTATCTACAATCTTGTTCAACCGTTGACATACATTTTTCATTGAACATATAATTGTGAAATCTGATTGATGATCCATAATTCGGTAGACAAGTTCTACCGGTAATGTAAGGAAGTTGGTAACAGTTTGATTTGCCATTGTAAATTGTTAACGAAGTGCGTGCTGCGTCACTTTATATGATGGTTATATATACTGTTCTTTATCTTATCATTAGATGAGTAGATATTTGTTTTGTGTCATAGGTTTCACATGATGTTGTAATTACTTGTTGGGAAAAAATCGAAAAAGAATGATATTAACTAGAAAATGACAGCATCGAGATGAGAACTGTAAGCAACGTTTTATTAAGATTTTTTAGCGAAATAAAATGGTATGTAAGGTACCTAAATATTGTGATCTCAGTTATAATCAGCAAAATTTAAATGAATTTCTTTTCTATTTATTTTGTTTAAATCTATAGTGTCATCTGACCGCCAAATCAGATATACCTATTTCTTCTCATAAAACAATCTTACTTGTGAATTAAAGAAAAAACAAAATCATTTCTTTTATATTTTGACGAATTTACTATAGTTTCATTTGTTGTTAGACAATTTTGTGTGAAATATTAAAAATATTTTGCTTCATTTATTGAACTTTTTTAGATACGATTATTTACAGATATTTATTTTATTATATAAAAATTTGAAAAAAATGTGCATATCTTTTTATTAGGAACATTAATATTGTGAGTAAAACCATAAATATAGATTTAGTCAATCAGAAAGAGATAGAAATAAACAATAATTCAGAAAAATTACTTTTTCAAGTAATTGCTTTCAGAATATGTATGCCATTTGTGTCAAATTTTTGCTACTGTTTAGTAAGCTTGTGGAGTCTTTCTTTTTTATGTGCAGTAATAGTAAAAATAATGCTCTATTTTTCTCCAATATTTGACGATTCTCATGCTAGTAAAATAGTGATAGAATTTTAACTGTGCTGTTTGTTGAAATAGGTGATATTATACGCTGTCATCAGATCACTAAAACACAAATCATAGTTTGCGTTCTATATAAACTCACGTGTTGAATTGGTGCCCTATGTATTGTCACAGTATATAAATTTTACTCGATCCTAAGACAATCGTAAATATTCAAAAATATCTGAAAACCTTGAAATCATCATTTCGTAGTCGAGTGAAACGCGAATACCATTTAGTTATTCAAATATCATAGTTTCTCGTTTATCATAAGAAATAAAAAGTTTTAGAAGTTGTGAAGAAAGACTTTGAAAATACGGAACTATCAACGTACAGCTTCTTTTTCATAAATAACAGATGTAACACATATTTTTTCAAAACTTTAGATTTCGAGAAGATTTTATTTAGAAGTTTTATATTAAAATTCAAAAGTACAATATTATTGCTAAAGTAGAAATTCTCTAGAGAAAATCTATTAAAAGCCCGAGATCTTTACAGAAGTAAACTAGAACCGTAACAAGACGGTACATGATTCTTGTAGTCTTATCTCATCGTTTAAATTGCTACTATATTCTATTGACCGACTAATAGATTTTTATTTATTATTAAATCATAATTAAAATTGATTTAGATCAAGTATTTATTCTCTTCAATTCAATGGTGAAATTATTCTCTATCATACGTATAATAATCCATGTGTTGCTCAATATAAAATTCAAACAAAATCAGAACAATATGCTATTACTTGTATGACATTAATTAATCCTATGCGAACACATCTCTTTAGTCTTAATGCTACTCAAATATCAACCGAAAAATCTCTTGGAAAACAAGCTATCTTTTTCGGTCATGCTAATGGTTATATATCACTTTTTCAAGGTTATCTATTTGAACTCTTTTTTCTTTCTTTCGTTTAACATTTAATTATTTTTCCAAAAGGTGATTCATTAACTATGGAACCTATATTAGCACATAAAAACTCTATAGTATGTCTTGAAACATCACGAGCTAGTATGGATACATCAAATATATCGTTTACAAATAGTGAAGTACTACTTTCATGTAGTAACGATCGAATTATTTATATATGGGATTTAACTATAAATAAATCCGATGAATCTATTCAATTAATTCATATCATAACAATTGAACAAGAAAAAAATGTTTCATTTGAAACAATAAAATTTTTATCTATGATTGATAATTTTCTTGTTGCTAATTATTCTGATCAAAATTTTTTACATATTTGGCAATTATTAAATATTTCTCTACAAACAAATACATATAATCAATGGGGAATTGTTGAACATCCAACAAAAGGTAGTTATCATCATGGTCAAATACAAGGTAAAAATCTTTTCTTTTTTTTGTCTTTAACTTTTTGTAAAGCAATATCTGCAACATCAAAATTAAAATTATTTGCTTCATCAGATACTGAAGGTAGTATTAAAATTTGGGATAATACAAATAGTTTATTACGTGAAATATATCTCGATAAAACACTTGGTGCAATTGAATTTCTTTCACTTAATGGTGAATTAATTATTGCTTATCAAAATAATATTCATTTAATATTACCAGAAAATTATTTAATAAATGATAAAAAATTTAAAACTAAACAAGAGATTATTATGCATAGTATTGCAGAAGATATTCGTTTAGAAATAAATCAACCATTGATTATACCATATCAATCATTACCAATATTTGATTACAATATAAAAACACATCATATTAAAAAAAGATTAGAAAGATTTGAACGACAATTATCAGGTTATAATTCATAAATTGTGTTTTTTTTAATTTTATATTGAATTTTTTACCAATATCTAATAATTTCGTTTAAAGATTAAAAGAATATTTCTCTCCTACTCATTTGACAATGTAAATAAGCGCAACTTTAACAAACTAATTTAGGCATATTATTGATCATCGTTCAAGTTCATATTCTTTTTCTATGTAGAACCCTATGTGAGTCTAAAGGAATTATCCTTATAAAGTTTATTTCAACTAAACAAAGGAAGAGAAAACAACAAGAAAAAAGGTAGTAAAGATGAATTAGATATACGTATATACATAGTGATGTATTGGAATATACTACAGAAGAAAAAGGAAAAGAATATGACAATGTCACTACATCACAATTTTTTGGAATAATACTATGGTTATTAAACTTATATTTTGACTGATAGACGATGAGTCTTACTTATTTCTTCTAGAAAGGATAATATGAGTTTTAAAAAAATATCTATTTCTCTCCTTAGGTCGCTTTGCTGTTATTGAAAGTGATAGTTCTCAATCAGATAATGAAGATCATCAATCATCAAATACCGATCGTTTATCAATTATAAGTGATGATTCCACTTGGTCTGAATTAGCTGAAGATGTCAAAGATATATTGCGAATGAAAAAATATGAAGTTCGACATCAACACAAATAGTTAAAAAAAACAACACTATTTACATTACAAGAAAGTCAAAAAAATAACTATTCATATTTATTAATCGAAATTAAAAAGGTCTATATGAATGAAAATTGGTATGTCTACCATAAATTTCTGGTACTGAATTAGTTGCTTGTTTAACACATTGTGTTCTATATGAATAATCCATTTTAGCATTTTGTCCATATTGATTAGTCCATTCAACGAGAAAAACAATTTGTCTATGACGTGGTGGAATACAATCAAAAGTTGATAAGGATTTTCTTGAATTACGTACACGTATACTATCATTTAAATCAACTTCAATATTTAGAAAATCTGTTGAAGATATATTTTCAGCAACAAACATCGCAAAATCATATTCACCTGCCATTGTATAATAATTATAATCTTTTTCCTATGAAAAAAAACAAATAAAAGAATAAAAATGAATTATTTCATTTCTCTTTTTGATAACAAACTTTTTGTAATTGACGTTTATTCTTTAAAGCAGTAGCTATTAAACAATCAGCTAAAAGTGCTGGCGTTTCGAGAGTAACTTGAACATTTATATGAACTTTTGAATGTATGACTAGAGTATAATCATTTACAGATGTATCATCATCATTCCAAAAACTAGTTGAAAATGGTATTACAACATAATAACCAGATCTTAATGAACCAATCCAATGCGTAAATGCTCCACGATTTGTACATAATATAGCTTGATGTGTTCCAACATCTTTTGATAATCCTTGATCTACATTACATAATACAAATGATTGTGTATGAAAATTTCTTATTCGACGATTTGAACGATGATATAATAAACTAATATTAACTAATGATGTTCTAGAAATACCAAAAACAAAAAAATAATAAGGATATAAATATATAAAATTCGATTTACTTTGATAGATAAAATTGATATGTTGGAATAGATTGTGCCGATGATCGAGTAAAACGATTTACTTCACGTACATCATAATAATCACTTGCATAAGTTGATATTGTAATTGAATTAAAAAAACGAAGAAATTTCGGCCAAGAAATCCAGAATGCACCTGGTGATTGACTATTTCGATCAATAGTATTTAATCTATTAAGAATTGGTGCTGTAAGTAATTCATCTTGATAATATGAACGACCGTGTGGATCTCGAACTAACACGAATTGCATTTGAATAGAGGATACTGAATGTGCTGCAAGTACAGAAAATGCATGATTACTCGAAATACGATTTTGAGTATATTCTTCTTCATTTACATCTGAACGACCAGTTGATGCACCAATTAATAAATTAGATTCACAAGCAGATAAAAGTTTTGCCCAAATAATTTCATCTTCGACAATATGTTTTGTTGGATTAAGATCAATATGATCACATGGAGCACCTGTTAATAATTGTAAACCTTCTTCTGTTTGTCCGCCCATTATATCAGCATAGGAACCAAATAATTTCGCACAAGCTTTTTCAATTAATGGAACATATAATTGACGTTGATGTGCTTGTGTAAATGCTAGCTGATTATGTTGTGTACAAGGAAAACAATCATCAACAAGAACTGTTTTCCATAAACCATTATGACAAATACGTATTAGATAGACACCTTGATTATTGACTACTTTAGTTAAAATAATATGTTCAAGCATTTGTGGTCGTTCAGTTATTAAAGCTAATGCAGCCATAAGCCAACAATCACCAAGAGCACCTTGTTGAATATCACTTGGCTTTGGTGATGAATAAACAGACCAATTTAAACGACGATCTGAATGTAATGATGGAGTTATTTGACATATTCTTAACCATGTTAATCGATGATTATCTAGTGAGTCCATATGACCAATAGAACGATCTATTGGTGGAAATTGATCATCGACAAAATGTGTATTTTCCTATAAAAATTCGAAAATTAAGTTTTTTAATATTAATCAAAACTCAGGAAAAAAATGAAATTACTTTTCGGCAATAAGAAAGTATATTACGATAGAGTATTTCTGCTTTTGTTTCATCACTATGTTGACGATCATGTACAGTAAGTGATTCAGATGTTGTTGATGATGATGGTGTTTTTGTATTAATAAGATTTTTCTAAATGTAAATAATATTTATATAAAATAACATTTATTATTTTATTTTCGTACCGAAGTTGTTATTGGTTGATTATTTTCTGATTGATATGATCGATGCATCGATGTTTGATTCGAAGACAAAATATATCCTTGTTTTCGTCGATGAGTTCCATTAGAAGAAGGATTTAACTTAGTACTCCTCATATAGATTGTCTAAAAAATTTGCACTGTAATAGCCAAGAAAAGAAAATCGATTGAATATGATCAATTCTTCCGTATTTTTCTTTTTACTCAGTATTTTTACGTGTTAGTTTATTTTATCAATGTAACTTAACCTACGCAGTCAACTACGGATATGAGTCATCAATAATTTGCCCTCTTCTCTTTTTGAAATGTCGATGAGAATAAGCATAGAACGGAGAAAAAAAAAATCTTTACAATATACAGTCTGTTACTATACCAATCGATGACGAACAAAGAACAAGTCTAGTAGAAATGATTAATCATAGTTTTGAATCATATAACTAGAATAATTTAACCTCGAAAAAATAATAATAATATGCTTTGTAATGCTGATTTTGCATTATTTTAATGGAATATCATCTTGTAACACATTCTTCTCGTTCTTTCCTAACTGTCTGAATTGAATAAAAATGATGATAAAGGAAGTGTTTTTCTTAATGTTACAATCAAATAAAAATTGTACTTGAATCAAAGCATTTATATAAATATATATGATTAATCAAATTCAACATTATCGAAACAAACAAAAAACGTATGTTACCTGTTCATATAATGACAAACATCCGTCTGTTGCTTCTATACATTTGAATAGTTTGACTGTGAGCTTCTTTTGTTCGACTCTATCTTATATTTTTACAATTGTACTGATGATTATATCATGAAGTATCAGAAATATCAACAGAACCAAAAAGAAAAAAAAAGAATTGTATATATAAAATGTCAAGTTATGTCATTTAATGTTTTCAATAAATAGATTTAACATGTGGTAGTATTTGACAGGGTCATAAGGTTGATATAAAGAGGGCATACTCGAAATATTTTTTTTAAGCGTCATTGAAACATTACTTCTATGATAATATGAAATACAAGGTTTTTGGCATAGTTGGAATGACCTTCTTATAAATAAGAATCATTGAATCTCTCAAAAGAAAAGTATATACATATATTGAGAATCAAAAGTATTGCACAGTACACAGTATATAATTCATTCTTTGAGATATTCGTAGTTTATATCTTAAGGTATATTTAAAGTAACATTATTTTTCTTATAGATCTATTAATTGATATTAAAGTTAATGGAAATAAATTTCGTTAAATTTTATTCAATCAATAAACCTTCACACACAGCTAATTTAATAATTTTTTTATTAAAAAAAAAAGAATTAACAAAAAATCCTTTTTTTTCATTGTTTCTAGTCGAAAGAAATTGATCGTTTTAAATGACACTTGTAAGTTTATCATGATCACTTTATTTTTCTTCATCTTCTTTTTTATCATCACTATTATCTTCATCTTCATCATCACGAATATATGCTTCATCAATTTCTTCAACTTGTAAATATCTTTCACCATCAACATTAGTCCAATATTTATTTGATGGTAAATTACGTTCTTCAGTTGTCATTTCATTTTCAATGGCAAACACAATACGTGCTCTTTCTAAATGCCTATATAGAAAAATTCATTTTAAAATACCAAAGAAACAACAATTCTACTAACCAAATTTGTGTTGCACCTTCAATAACATTTCCATATGTATCACCCATCATAGCAATAAGTAAATTGAGCAATAATATTGTTACAACAATAATATAGGAAATGAGTAATGTGACACTCACATAATGGTATGATGTATCAGAATAGGCATCAAGATCGAAATCACCTAACATACCCAGAAAACTTTGTTTAACACTAACAAGAAAACCGGGAAAACCTAAAAAAAATAAATGAAAATTGAAATTGAATTTTTTCGCAATATTTATTTTACCATTATTATCAAATAGGATAAAAAATGATTGTGAAAAACCAGCAAGAAATACAGCATAAATAATAAAAAATCGAAGAACATCATTACATAACATTTCCCAAATCATCACAACAAATGGACCTGTTAAACGAAAAGCCATTACGAAAAACAGCATATAACCCCAACCAAGAATTGATGCTATGGCTAATGCAGCTGTTTCAAGAGGAAGATCAAATAAACGTAATATATTCACCACGTATATACTGAAACAAAATGAACATGCTAAACAATTTTCAAGAAGACCGGAACCCTATGCAAATAAAAAAATTATTTCATAGAGACATTTTTTAATAATTATTTACCGTCGTTTGAAAATATTTTTTAATACCTAAACTAGTCATTTCGTTATATTCAGAATTGCCTTTATATATAGCTCCAAATAATACAAAAAGACGACCAACTGTGCAGAAGGTTTGACACATCATTCCTGCTGGTTCCATACTGATTACTACAAGATCATCGCCTTCACCGCTTGTCTAAAATAAACAATAATATTGATATCTGTCAATAAAAAAGTAAAAATTTACCTCTTCTGTTCGTGTCTGATCAAGAATAGTTGTCAACATAAAGATAAGTAAATATGAAAATGTAATAAGAAAACGATGGAAAAAAATTCGTCGTGCAAAACGCTCCCATTTTTTATTAACTAAATCAACGAGACGTGGATGCATAATAAGTTCAACATGTGCATTTTGAACAATTATTTCAAGAGCACCAACAGCTTTATCCTCATCCTAAAAATAAATTGAAATATTTCATAGATAAAATTCAATTTTTTTTTCTTTTAGATATTCATACATCATCCTCACCATCACCATCACCACTTTTCTTATCAGCATCATCGTCATTATCATCATCATCTTTTTCAAAATCTAAATCAACTTGATCAAGTGGATAGAGGACACACGAAACAGGTCCATAACTCCATTGTGTTATTTTACGTTCTTCAAGTAAAAATGAAAACATATCAGCTTTACCCAATTTAGCTGCTAATGTTAATGGTGTAAATCCATTTTTGTTTAAACGTTTCCATAATAGTGTAGGTTTTTCGTTGTCAGTTGAACTTTTATCATCATCTTCATTATCGCTTGAAGGTTTTTCAGCATCTCGCAATTCTATCCAACGTTGTTTTATTTTTGTATACATTTTAGGTAAACCATGAATAACAAGTAAATGTAAAACAGTGTTTCCATTTGAATCAGCCTAAAAATATAAATTTTTACTCTCTATATATAACGATTATAATTTTACTTTAATTAATTTGAGTATATCAAACGGAAGTCCTAAACTTTAATCTTATTTGTATTTTTCTAGTCTATTAATCCATTTTAATTAGACTTGTTCACATACAAAGTGCGAAAATTAATCGTGAATGCATCTGATAAATATCACCAATCATACACTTTGTGACAGACATGTATATACATATATTTAATTTGAATGAGATATTTTTCTGTTCTTGTTTTTATTTTTTTTTTATGTATTCGAAACCAAATTTATTCTCACATAAATAATATAAAGTATCAACAAAAACGAGAAAGAGTAGCTTGTAATGAGCAAACGCCTCAGTGAGTATAATTTCTGTCGTATATAGGAATATGTAAACAAAAAGACATCGTAATACAATTGCTTAAATATTGTCAATGGTAAAACGCATCATTAGTTCTTATACAAATTTAATAAAATGAGTGATTAATAGTAGATCAGACTCTATTGTTTAAATATAAATCCTTAATATTGTTTTATCCTGACGAATATAGAAAGAATACAAAAGTTATTGAAATGTATGAACTAATTTGTTCAAAAAACGATTTATTTTCATTCTATAGTATTCATATTCATGCATGAAAAGATACGAGATATAACTTGAAAAAAAAGTATATTAGTTTTCGTATTTCGATTATATTCTATTTTGTAATGACATTACAGGAAGAAAGGCGTGTGCTATGATCCGTGTTGACAACACAATATTATATTGGTTTAATCAGATATTATTGTTTTTATACTGTACTCCTTTCCTTTCGTTTTGTTTTTTTATGGTGTGCAACTATCTTTACATATAATGTTTTCATGTCCTCTCTATATAAAATTGTTCGTATTTGTTTTTCAACAAGAAAAGAAGCTTAACGTTAAATATATCGTAACAGTATAGTAGAATTCTATTAGAAGAGTTATTCTATTATTACTAGATCTATATTCTCACTTTCTGTCTACGATTTTACAGCTACTGATTAATAACATAGATTACTAACCGCATCCATATCTGCACCATATTTAAGTAAAATTTCTGCAATATGCCATTGATTTGTGCAACATGCAAATGATAATGGGAATTCACCATAATAACAAGGTCGACCACTAAAATAAAATATCTATCTATATCTTAGAGTTAATTAAATAGGAAAATCCTACACTTTAAAAAAATCTCCACAAGCACTGGCTGTTAGTTGTTTTTTTTGATAAGGTCGATTTTGTTCATCACCTAGAAGCCATTCAACTAAACTTGCATTTCGTTTGATAATTGCAATATGAAGAGCATTTTCACCATAATATTCCTAAAAAAAATAATAATTTTTTTATTACAAATAAATCAACAACAAAGTTAATTTTCTTTTAATTTACAGGTTGATTGTAGATTTGAGTTATTGTACTTGGGTAATTTGTGATCAACCAACGACCCATATTAAGATGAGTTTCAGATCCATATAAAAATAACATATGTATTGGACATTCACCAACTGGACCCCTGTCATTAACATTAGCAGGATCCAGTCCAACAAGACGTTTCATAGCCTCTTCATCAGCTTTTCGTACGGCTTCCCAAATAGTTCCACCTTTACGTGATTGTTCTGTTTGTCGTTCTACAGCTGACAATGTTGATTCTTCCTTAGCCTTTTTTTGCTGAGCAACTTTTATCAAACGAGCCCATATACTAGAAACAGCAGGGGACGCTGGATCACTTTCTCCTCCACTCATTATTTAAAAAAAAATCTTAATAATCGTCGTTACTAAACTACTTGTTTTGTTTCTTTCACCACGTTTAACCGTATGGCTGACAACTATAGTAATGATAAATACTTAGCTAGTAATTTGTTTCATTCGTTATTTTGTTTTTTTTCGTTTGAATTTTTCTCCCACGTATTTTACCTGTAGCATGCTTAGAGACTACATCATTACCAATATCGCCACACTACTCATTAGAGCGGAAATATAAAACCTTTACGTGAAGGCTATTTTCCACGTTGATGATCGAAAACATTATATATTTTGTCTACAGCTAAGACGATTAAGTTTCACTATTGTCCTGCACTGAAATAATTCAATGATAATGCTCTATTTTTCATTCTTAATAAATATGACTGAATCAATTAAGATAAAAATATTCATTTAAGTCTACCAGTCATATATAGTTTTACCTATAAAAGAATATTTTCAATATTATGATTCTCACTTGTTTTTTTTAAATCAATAATGATTGATATTTCAACCATAATATGATACTGTTAATAAAACCGAGAAATATTCATCAAATAACCTAAGAATTTTCATTATTTAAGTACTAAAAAATACTATGGTCCTTATATACTTATTGCACTACTCAAATGCATGTCATTAAAAGAAAAAACATCGTACTATCATCATTATGAAAACAAATAAATTAAACAAGAGAAAAATCGACTTGAAAGAAATATACTAATCACAATAAAAACGTTTATCTACATGTCATATTTTATGTATTGTATCATTTATTATCTTGATATAATTTTACTTGGACACCTACACAACCAAATACAACAGTAAAAGAAACAAACATGTCTAATTCACTACTTATAAGAAAAATTTCAATCGTTTTATACATTTATGAATCAAAACATTTCAAAAAATTATTATAATATGAATATAATATTCACAATAAAATAAAAGAAGTATACATACAAATCTTGTTTAATAATTATCAACTATTTAATCTTATTCAAGACTTGTCGGCCATTTGTTCAGTAACATTCGTACCAACTGTTTCAATAATTAGAAATTTATTTCATTATTTGATCAATTACTTTATCTATGTATTTACAAATCGTCAAGAAAAACTCAAATTGTTTAACGACTATACGAAAGTTTTTCTTCTCAAGTATCTAATAATTATTCATTCTAACAATAGTAAATATTTCCTTTTGAATTAATCGAAACATTATCTTTTGTTAAACCTGAACTAAAGATTAGAATTAATGTCATTTCAAACATCAAATCTAATGTGTAGTTAACATTATACATCGATAAAATCATTTTATATATCAATTTTGCAAGTTTCAGTGACATACTACTGACTGATGAATAAAAAAGATTACGAAACTTATGCAATCTTACTTAAAACTCATATTTTTATCTTAAACGAATTGCATTAACCACTTTTTATTTTCATTCATGTAATCACCATATCTAAATTTTTTAGATCAATTTGTTTCTTTAGTATATAACCGAAATCGATCAATGATTCGATCTATAGAGCATTTATTGAAAGTTATCGATCATGGAACAAATCGCTTTTCAACTTATCAGTAATTAATCAATGAACCAAAATTCTATAATAATCTTCATCGAACATTATTAAATTTTGAGATAGAATTCAGATCGATTACTATTCACAATTATTTAGCCATTAAAAATAACGGTTATTCATAAATCAGATAATAACAAACTGAAATGGAATGGTTTCAGTTATTTATAACGGTATTTTATCAAGAGAATAGATCAAGATAAATGTATTTACCAGATAATTGATTTATTTATATGAATGAAAAAGAATGGATAGATTTCAGGGTCCTGTTCAACATAATCAGATAAAAGATACAATTAGAAAACAAGACCTTGTTCGATTTCTTCTTGCATTAATTGATGAATACATTAGAGAAGTATATGTATTAATACTCAAAATATTATCATGTATTGAAAAAAAGCAACTAAAAGACTTGTTTGATTCTCGTTATCAATCCAAGAATAACTATACATATATTTTAGAATGAAAAGATACAATTCGTACCAATCAAAATTTGAATTAAGAAAGCATACATGGCTCATTTCTTGTTTAAAATATTACTTTATAAATGATTAACGATACGTGTTATGATTGGTTTGCTTGACAATGTGTATCTCACACTTATTAGAAAAAAGTGCATTTCAATAAGTTAAATTCCAATGGTAAAATAAATGTTAATAGGTAACGATGATTGTGAAGTACGTTATTCTCATATAATTAAATTAAACATTTTATTGAATGTAGTCATGTTTTATAATTTCCATTTATAACTTTTCTGTAGACTTCAATAACATATATTCATTTATTATCAATATTTGAAAATGAAGTGAAATAAAAAATATTGGCGATTCATCTTTTAATCAATTTTCTTTTTTTTCTAAATAATAAATTTAGTCTCTATCGGTAAAATACAGGTGTAAACTGAAAAAAAATGATAACATCTCTGTTAATATAGTTTTGCCTCATTAAATTTTTTTTTACATTCTCATCATTTTTTTTCTTCTTTTCATTATATATTTTTTTTTGCTTTTATGCGTGCAACATATTCTAAATTATTCTTACTGATGCATTAGGAAGATAACTTGTAAAATATGACCATACATCGAAGGTTATCTTTGATAGATATCATCAAACATGTAATATAACTCAATGCTTTTATTAAAAGTTTTGTTAGTTTGAATTGCATATATATATTTTTACTAATGATATATACTTTTTTAATCTCTTTTGATTTTCCTGTATTTGAAAGAACTGTTTATAATTCAGTTCTATTCCTTTGTTCGAAGTATCAGCATTATTTAAATAATTGTTTTTAATTATTTGTTCCATATATCATTCAGCAGACATATTTGTACTCAGTTCACATGTATATTTTGATACATAATGATATGACTTTCCTTGATAACTTACCGTGACTACCTCAACAACAACATTATATTTTGTCTACGATTTACATTACTCAAAATATTAATTTTCTGCTCTTGCATGCTAAATAATTATCCTTATAATAATATTTTTTTTGTATGAAATATCCATTATTATTGTTAAAATATTTTTTCGATTACCTTTTTGCATCACAATAATAAATTTAACTCAAATCGAAAGCAAACCCAAGTCTAATATTTACATTACATCAAACATTAATAGTGAAGTGGTGGCCAGGTCATAATTATTATATTGATTTTTAGTAAGATTGATTTTAATTTAAAATAAAAACTATGTATACGTTTTATCCTTATCCTCAACAATCACAACAACAATTTTTTCCATGGCTTAATCAATCATATATACCACAAACTCTCGTTTCTTTTGAAACACAACTTAATTCTCAATATCCATTACCTCTATCACATTCAGCAAATCCTCCACTTACTTATGAAAATAAAGATCCGAAATCAATCTCGGATTCAGAATTAATAAATCTACTTGAAGATCGTACAAATCAACTCAAACGTCTACATGAAACTGATCAACAACAACAATTACCTATTCTTCTTGATGTTATTGTAGCTCTACGTCATGCTCCAAAAGCAATATTAGTATCAACTGCACAGAAGGACTTTTTTGCTTTGCTTCGAACACCATTTACTGATATACTTCAACGATGGCGTCGTTTTTCATCTCTACCAGAAAATGAATCTTTTATATTTCGTAGTACAACTAAACTAATATACAGATTAATTCGTTCAGTGGATAATATCTCAATGATTCCATTATGGTTGTCGGATTCTACATTACTCGGAATTATTTCTGATTGTCTTACAGATATAGCTACTTTAAAAAAGTTTCTCGATGCTAAAAATAAATATCAATTCAAATATTTTACACATTTAATTGATGCATATACTTTATATCAAATACGTTTCAATGATGATAAGCATTTTAACAAAGATATGTTTATTCAATTACTTCATCCAATTTTACAATGTCTCACTTCAAATCAATACATTCATACTTTCACAAATCTGTCAATAGATTCTAACTCTATGAGAACAATAGAAAAATTCTTTCTTCTCACATGTACAACATTTCTTACTTCATACAAAGGTAACTATTCATTTTCTTCCTACAAATATTATTATTTATTTTATTTATAGGATCTCATCTTGAACAAACAATGAAGACTTTACTTCCAGTCATGCTACCTCAATATCTAAAAATATTAGACAAATTTGTTCCTTCAACACATAGCTGGAATCGAGCAATGCTTCGATCTATAGAACATTTACTAAGAATTATCAATCATGGAGCAGATCATTCTCCAACAAATGCAAAACTCATCAGTAATTATCTACCATTGATTACTCATATATTAAACCTATTAAATGAACCAAAATTCTATAATAATCTTCATCCAACATTATCAAATTCAGAAACAAAACTGATAAATACATCTATCAGTTTTCTTGTGAATATGATCAATGAACCTACAATACTTGCACATATAAAACAATCTCATG